TTATTTTAAGCATATGATCATATATATACATGATATTGCGTGTATTTGACGGTTGGGTATAATTACTTATGAAAAAAAAACCCTCAATACGCTACTGAAAAAACATTTTTATTTCTGTAGATGAGATAATATTTAGTCATCACTTTGTGATCACAATGAAAATATGTATACAAATGAATGTTCGGTTGATGCTGTTCATTTTTAAAATTTTTTTTTTATTTTTGCGATTGATAATGGAAATTTTTACCTTTTCTATTTTACACAGGGAAAAATACATTTTCCAAAAGGTTATATATAGGTACACAATATCCGTTCCAATTCAATTTTTCTACATCGTTCTTTCCGAGTACCTACCTTATACCTACCACTTTTCTTATATAATACAAAACAATTTCGTGTTTTGATTAGTGTTGGACATGAAATCCAAATATCTGAATTATCCGAATATGCGGATATCCATATCTGGATTTGAATCATATTCTAATCCGAATTTCCCGAATTATMCAGATTATCTGGATTTATGGATTTGCTTTTTATGTGACTTTAGACTTACAAATATTTTTAATGTATGGTAAAATAAATTATTTTATTATAATGAAAATTTAACAATAAATTAATACTTAAGTTGTATTATTTACAGTATATTTATCAATTTCAATGATTATTTATTAGTTATCATACAAAGTAAATACTTAAGTAATTGTTTTTATTACAGCTAAGCTCAAAACATCACTGGTACTTAAAATACGTTCGAAATTTTGTATATATATATATTATATATATATATATATATCCGAAAATTATGTTATAGAATTAAAATATTATTAATATATAAAAATTAGTCATTGAACAGCAAAATCGAGTTGAATAATTCGGATACTACGGATAATCCGTGAAATCCGAATTATTTGGATTTTTGAAATCCGAATATGCCCACCACTAGTTTAAATCCGGTCGCAGACAAAAGTTATATTAGTTTTTATTTAGGTACTATTCATATCTGAATATTTAATACTGTTWAACGATAAATTCAAAAACCATTTCCTCATCTCTGTTGTTACAATAATAGGCATAATATTTATTTTGTGTRCTTATATATTGTAGAAATCGATTTGTATTTCTAAAAGATTGGACTTTTTTTTAAAATTTTGTAGGTTTGCTAACAGAACACTTTAATAAATGACAATATTTAATATATGTATATACAAAACAAACACATAAATTATGAATATTATGAGTCATAATAAAATAAACAAGGGCACATTTTATTTTARTTTTAAAAAATGAGTCCATTAAATAAACGCTTGAAACTTAATATTTTGTATTATAATTTAGCTCTTCCAACCATTATATAATGGGCTATTAAATGTATTAAACTGTTCTAAAAACAACAACGATAGCATATGCTAAACAGATTTTGTATACAATTTAATATGCGCATCGCCGACCTTTCATATAAAATTGCGACACCTTTGTACACTTTAAAGTCAAGGCAATTTATTTCTCATTTATTTTAACAACTAGGTAGGTACTATCTATTTTATGTCATTTTTTGYGCAAAAATAAAACACGATACTCGCGTGTCAGTGGGGATGCCTGAAGTTATAATTGTTAGGCGTTCGAATGTCGGTTTATTCCCAAACAACACCCGATCGATTTCAAATTTCTACATTTTACGATAGCTTCAATACTAGGTAAAAATGGGCAAAAAKGACAACATTTTGAGGAATAATTATGCCCACTTCAGGTACAAAAAYGGGCAGAGGAAAATATGACTGAACACAAAAATTGCTTACAGAAAAAATTAATTAAGATTACTACYGAATAGCAATTTAATATACCTATACTTCGCATAGTAGCAATGTCGCTAATATTGATTAAAAATTAATAATCCTCAGTCATCCATACGTATTTTTACACATGTAGCAATTTATTGTTTAATAACAATATTGCTTTATGTTGTATGAAAATGTATATCTATACCTACGTATAGACGGTAGGATACGGTGGCAGTATTGTGCTAAACAGTTTCCACCAGGTCCTAGTTTTTTTTTTCAGGTAAAAAAAAAAGACGGTAGTATACATACATATATATGTATGAATTTCAGCATTTTGCAGTATTGTCAAGATACAACATTATTGTAGGTGAAATATTATCGTTATTTTAAATGATATTATTTTACCACGTTGAATTTTTTTAGATTCGATGTATATAAAATAATACTTTAGATGGAGCGAAAAACGATCGAAAAAACCAACAAATTAAAAAAAAACGCAATAAAAAATTTCTGCGCGATTATTAAACCGTCGTGACTTACGCTTGACAATACGCACACTGTCGTGTTTGTCGAGTTTTGTTTCAAATTTTTAAACTAATAATCATGACTGAAATAATATTTTCGAATAAAAATTAATAATACGTCTTGAGGATCTCACAAAATACACAATTCGACGTAATTTTAAATTTTAAATACGTATTGGCATTGCTTGAACAACGTAGTGTTGTATTTATTTGTGAGTCAGTTTTAAAAATTATCATTGAATACCTATTAAAATGATTCTTTTTGTTTTTCATTATTAGTCACGTCATTACATAATATATTTTACATAACGGCGCGTATTAACATAAAATAAGACAACTCTTCTGTTTATAAATCTTATTGACCTTTATATCAATATGGAATATATCTATAGTAAGTATTTATAATCCAGGTTATCAGGACATCAGGTTATGTTTCTACGAATTATCGTTAACAACGATTTTAATTCTAAGAGAAAATATTAAGTGTTTTTTTTTTTTTATCAGAAATTTAAATCATCGGTTAGGTTAAAAGAAGAAAAAATTCTAAAAATGTCACAATTTTTTTGTTATACTCAAATTATATGCAAATMAATTAGGAGTACAATATTTTCATTTGTTATGGAGTTTATAGATTAAATTATTCTTTAATAATTATAGTGTTGGTAGGTACCTATGAAGTATGAAACATGAATAATTCAAAATATTAACTCCACGGTAAAGGTATAGGTGATGTAATCAAATATTATAATAAATCAGTATATAATATTATATAAATGATTATACAATTCGTCCTTAAAARAATATTATTTAAATAATTACATTTGAATGAAATCCAGTAACAGTAGGTTAGTTACTCATAAAAAAGTTATAAGCTTAAAGATTAACCAACATGGTTTRGATTTTTGAGCAGTTTTCGGTGTATAGGCGCTTATTGTTGAAACTCAAAACTATCGCATGCACACAAAATTGTCGATAATATTTTGTGAACAATTTTATATYATACAAACAGGTAGGTRCATAATATATCTTCAGCTAAGTAATATATTATGATYCTGGTAAGAAAACAACGAAATAAAAAGACATTTTTTTTTTCTAAACAGTATTTATTTATTTTTTATATAATACKATATATTATATTATAATATATATTACACGATTGTACGTCTATGACGATTATAATATATAAACGCATATAGACGAAGATGAAGTAATAGAAGAAAATATAGTTAAATTATATAATATATAATGTCATCGCCATCGACAACAAACCGCAATGACGAGATCATGGTAACATATTATAATTATGTATACATTAAGATAAACGGACGAGAGCGATAGAAGAATATTAACATAATAAAAAATGGCTTTTGGATACCACGTTTTAAACCATAGACATTATTATAATGTTTATGCTTTAACCGTGTGGTCGATAATCATTTCGAGGAATAGGTGTATATTAGGTAAGTATGAGATAGATGATAAACTGGGCCGGGATGGTCACCGTCTTACTGGTATTTTGGTTCGGGTGTGCTGGGCAGAGTGGCGAGGAGTCTGAGTGACTCTTGGATTGCTTCTGGGATTGGTGGTGGAGTGGGCAAATGAGAACCGTACGGTTGGTAACCGTTCTCGTCAGCGATGTAACCGGTTTGGATGGTCTGACCGTCTGGGGCTACATACGWTATTGCTCCCTGGGCCACCGATACGGGTCCTTCTGGGCCAGCCTTCAAGTATCTGATTTCTTCTTGTCTGATTCCGTTATCGGTTTGGAAGCTGCAAAATCAATAATATGATATGGTTAGCCAATGTGATTTTTTTTATTATTAAAAAGTTAAAACGAAAATTGTCTACTGATACGACCCACTGCTAATGACTCTAAATATTCCAATCATCACATGACAAATTCTATATCCTACAGCTGGTAAACATTCAATAGGTATGCGGTTTGTGTGGGCATGATACAGTGATATCTTATACAGWAACCCACCGAGTTAAGTTGGGATTTTGAATTTTTACAACTTTAAAATTGAACGTATTACTAATAGAATGTTTAGTTAAATAGGTACTAAATCAACACTGTGATTGTCGTCGACGTGCATTGCGCCCATTAAAAAATTTTTCGAAAATTTTTATGTTAACATTTAACACGAAATTGGCATGAATTTATTTGCACGATTAAATTTAGAATTCGCATGATATTATATTAGCTGGAAAATAAGAAATACTTTGGGCGCGGTGGCGAAACGCTGCACCAGCCGTGCCCAACCAAAACTGYCAAGAATTTCGAAAAAACTTTTATGCCATTATTTATCATGGTGCAAATTCATGTCAATCGCGTGCTAAATTTTGACATAAAAATTTTCTGAAATTTTTTAATGGGTGCGGCTGGCGCAATGCACGTCGATTTTGGTCA